TTTGTGTTATACTTTGTATTATTTTTTTGTTGATACTTTGAACTATACATTATATCCAAAATCTCTAAGTCATGCAAACAAATATGTGTATTTAGTGGCTTTTGAATTTGTCATAACTTTAGCAGCTACCGATTGCAGCCTCCTTTATAAATTCTACTCATGTCACAAGGTAGATAATGGGTAACTCAATCGAACAATATCGTGCTGCAATTGGTCTTTTCTATTTATCTGGCAGAGGTACATCAAAAACATGTTTATGGTTGTTTTTTTCATGCGCATGTATATTGCAACTAATGAAAAATGTTTTTAGAATACTCACTCAGTGCTTGACATCCAGTACACTAAAATCTGTGTACATCAACTTTTATTTACAATTTTTCACATTTGTTCTATTGGCATGTGGTGACATTGAGGTCAATCCGGGCCCTGTTATTGAAAATGTCCTTGACATTCTACACCTTAATATCCGAAGTATTCGACACAAACTAGGTCATTTAAACTCTTTTGTTCACGACTTCGATCTTTTATGTTTTACAGAAACCCATCTTGACAATACCGTAAATAATGAAGACTTATATTTGGATGGATTTGGTTATATAATAAGAAAAGATAGGAACTGTTTCGGTGGAGGTGTCATGATTTATTTCTCTAACCAAATACGTGTTATTAGACGCCATGATTTTGAACCCTCTAACATTGAATGTATATGTATCGAAATTGATAACCATACCTCTAAAATCTTTTTATGCTGTGTATATCGTCCTCCGAACTCTGATAGTGGTTTTTGGACCAAACGTTCATGGTGTATTGACAAAATGAGTGAAAAATCGGATAAAATAGTTTTAGTCGGTGATATTAATGTTGATCTCCTTAATACTCCACAAACACATATCATCCATGAAATTATTTCAACACACAACCTTGTTAATAATATTATCGAACCGACAAGAATTACGCACACGTCGAGCACGCTCCTTGACCCAATTCTCACTTCTGTTGACATTCAAGTTCGCGAATCGGGTACATTAGTAATGGACTCTTCCATAAGTGACCACAGAGCTACATATATATCGCTTTCTTCAAACATAAATTATAATCGATCTTACAAAAGAAAAGTGTGGGCTTATAAAAGAGCTGACTTTGAAAAACTAAATTCTTTAATTGAAAACTGTGATTGGAATAAGAACATAAACGAGGCTCATACAGTAGATATAGCATCAGAAAACTTTACTTCTGAATATCTTTCGTGTGTTCGTGAATGTATACCTGAACAAACGGTAACCATACGTCCTCGCGACAAACCATGGTTTGACTCACTTCTAAGGAAAACAATGAGAACTAGGAACCGACTTCGTAAGAAAGCACACAAAACTAGAAAAGATTCTGATTTTGCCGCATACAGAACGGTTCGAAATTCGGTAAATAATATGAAAAAATATGCGATAACAAATTACTACGACAATATAGATACATTCTTAGAGGATTCAAGCAAAAATAATAACAAACTATATTGGAAGTTGATGAAAGACGCATTCAACGTGAAATTGTCCAACGAAATCCCACCAGTACAAATAAATAATGATAACGGTATAAAACATTTTGCTTATTCAGATATCGATAAGATTGAAGCGATAAATTCGTATTTTTCTTCCATTTCGACAATTGACGATTCAGATTAAACATTGCCAAACATGTACAATTTGTGTAGTGACACACTCTGTAATATTTTCATTGAGGAACAAGAAGTAATAGATATTATATCAATTCTTCCCGTGAACAAAGCCATAGGTCCTGACTGTATTAGTCACAAAATGTTAAAATCTACTCTTTATACAGTTGCTAAACCACTTACATTGTTGTTAAACAGGTCTTTATCAGAAAAAAACGTTTCCAGCTTTTTTGAAAATCGCTCATGTTATTCCCCTGTTTAAAAAAGATGATCCCTCTTTAGTTTCCAATTATAGACCTGTATCGTTACTATCTTGTGTTAGCAAAATTATGGAGAGAATTATTTTCAAACATATGTACAATTATTTTCATTGTAATAATTTGTTTTATCGATATCAGGCAGGATTTTGACCAGGTCATTCCACTGTGTATCAATTACTAGAAACATATCATAGTATTGTTCAAAATATTGATGAAGGTAAATCATGTTGTATGGTTTTCTGCGATCTTTCAAAAGCTTTTGACAGAGTATGGCACAAGGGGCTTCTTTTTAAATTACAAACTTACGGTATATCAGGTGATCTTCTTCAGTGGTTTTCTAGTTATTTGTATAAAAGGACACAAAAAGTAATGTATAAGGATCTGTTATCATCAAAACGAGATATTTTTGCAGGTGTACCCCAAGGTTCTGTTTTAGGTCCACTTCTATTTTTGATATATGTAAATGACGTTGCTGTAAATATGTTATCATTGTGTAAACTTTTTGCTGATGATAATTCGCTTCAAAAATCTTCATACAATATACTTGATATTGAATATAATTTAAATCACGATTTACATATTCTGGAACTTTGGTCAAATCAGTGGCTTCTAAAATTCAACCCTTCCAAAACAAAAGTTATTTTTTTCAACAAGAAAAATATTTCTGTTATGCCTAAATTATTTTTTAAAGGCGACAGACTGGAGTGTGTCCCAGTTCATCGTCACTTAGGTCTATTGTTGTCACAAAACCTTAGCTGGTCAGAATACATTGATAGCACTGTAAACAATGCTTATAAAAAACTTGGGCTTTTAAAAAAAACTTAAGTTTAAAATTGGTAGGACACACCTTTCAAAATTATATGTCACATTTATCAGACCCTCGCTCGAATACGCTTCTATTGTTTGGGATGGCTGCTCTAACCTTGATGCCGAAAAGCTTGAAAGAGTTCAACTATCTGCAGCTAGGATTGTTACAGGACTTCCAATTTTTGTGTCAAGAGAAATACTTTACTCTGAAACTGGCTGGGAAACGTTAAAATTTAGGCGCTATGTCGCAAAAATGACGACTATGTTCAAAATTCATAATGGTTGTGTACCTGAATACTTGAATGATATTGTTCCACACAAGCGTGAAAAAATATCAAAATATAATACCCTTAATAACGAACAATTCACTGCTCCAAGATGCAGATTAGAATTATACGAAAGGTCTTTTATGCCCGATGCTGTGAAACAGTGAAATTTATTAAAGATAGAAACAAGAGAAGCCATCTCACTCAATGCATTTCGTAAAAACTTAACTACAGAAGTAAAAAATCCCCCAATCTATTTTTCATTTGGCAAACGTTATACAAATATAATCCATACTAAACTTAGACATAATTGTATACTTAACTATGATTTACACAAACGAAATATTATTAATAGTCCTTTATGTTCATGTGGAAAGTGTGGAGATGTTTATCATTTCTTTTTTGCCAGTAGAAATTACCCAAAAGCTAGGAATAATCTTTTTAACCGCCTATTTTTACTTGACGAATTGGTCACTATTGACTCAAATTTGTTATTATGGGGTGATGTAAATTTGCCTTTACAAACCAATACAAATATTTTTGCTGCTGTGCATAAATTTATTGATGAAACCTGTAGATTTTAAATTTGTTATGTTATTGAACAGATATTTCACTTGTATCACTTTTTAAATTTATATTTCTGTGTACTATTTCAATTGCATGACATGTAGTTATATATTTAAGGAGAGGAACTAGTAAGTTGTAAGAACTTGTTTCCAATCCTTTTGATTTAGTCAATAAAATATGTTCAAACATACATAGATTTTCAAACACAATAGTGTCATTTACTCTTAACCTGAAATTGTTTATTAATTTATCTGTATGAGCATTGTCTGTATGTGTACTTAATTATTTGACAAACTGATTCTCTGTTTCGCATTTATTTTTATGATTTATGAACGAAAGTTATGTTATAATAAAAGAAAAAAATGAGCATGTATTTTTTTTAGTACATAATATTTCTTTTTATGTATCTCCCAAGAATTAAACATCGCTGGAGTCGCAGCATTTTTTTTTGTTCCAATCAGCCGATTTTAGGCACTATTAATTTCATTTCCAAAAACAAACTTACAAAAGTTCACCAATAATTTTAATCGCGGTCGAATCTTTCAATACAGAGAGAAATTAGTTACATTAGAGAATACAAAATAATTTATTGAAAGGAAATTACTTGAACGCTTGATTAAAGCATTTATTTTCGTTTCATTTGAGAAAAATGTCTAAAACATATGAGCGATGTATATTTGTAGTTTTATACTTTAATCATTAGTGATGTACCGATTAATCGATTAAATCGATTATCTAATCAAATTGGTCCCAGATTGTAGATAATCGATTAAAATTTTGACAATCGATTACTCAAAATATTAGTTAAAAGCAAATTAATGCTTTGATTTTTGATTCATTCTTTTTCGAAATTAACTAAATCCTAAATAATAATCTAATAAATGAACCCAATGATACAATATATTTCAAAAATGTATTCTTGAAATCACTCCACAATTTCTAACCAACTTATTCTTCATTCAAAAATGAACAAATATAATATTTGAAATTGATCGATTTTAATCGATTATAGTACATCTGATTATTCCGATAATCGATTATGAAAAAATTCCCGAATTCCAATCACTATTAATTATATATAATTCATATGTATTTGCTTTCCATTATTATTTTATTTAATTTGTTTTCAGAATAATCTAAGTATATAGAGAAATAATAAAGTATGTGTTAGAAATGTTTTGATTTTACAAAATATTATTTCTTCATACAGAGGATATGACTATCGGACTTCCTTGTATGACCCCTAAGTACTCCTAATTATGAGAAGCGTTTTCTGAAATGTTTTAGTATGTTTGATGTACACTTCAGTGCTCAAAGAGTGTACACAATAAAGAATAATAATAATAGTTGAAAAAAAAAAAAAAAAAAAAACAATTAAAGAAAAAATGGAGGACTTCTTTTATAGTTGTTCTTTTTCATTAATATTTCTAGATAACTTATGGATTGGAGGTACGGATAACGAAACAGAAGGTGTTTGGAAATGGGCTTCTAGAAGTACACCTATAAAGTTTACGTTTTGGAAGCCCGATGAACCGAACAATTTTCATGATAATGAACACTGTCTGGAACTAACACTAAAAAGTGGATGGTTATGGAATGATAACTATTGTGGAAAGAAGCTAAGATTCCTCTGTGAAATTTTACAGAGTAATTAAATCTTTGTTTAAAAAATTAAGTTTTTTGTTCAACCAGAAATATTTCTGTGAGTTAAGAGAAAACTTTATAATAATTTATTAACCTCTAATTTTTGGTCACCATAACAAAGGATCCTTGTTTGTTGGATATTCTTATTTATGTACTCTTTTCAGCTCAATCTCCCTCGTTGTCATTATAGAGGTAGTATAAATTGAATATATATTATTCTAACTAAAGTAGAAAATGTTTGCATTATTCATGCACCAGCATATGATCAGAATAAACGTGATACAACTACATTCAATTTGTCAAAAAATCACAGTTTATAATAAAAGCAAGAATAGGAAAAGAAACCTCCAATTATAAAACAGAGGAAATACACATGTATATTAACCAATTTACATTAAAATTACATGTAATATTTCATGGAATTTTTTTTCTTCAAATTTTGAATTTTCTGTCTGTATTTTGTGTTGCATGACATAAGCAGTTCTGAGTGGATTATTGAAATGAATACGGAATACATATACAACCTTCTATATTTATAATTGAATTATTAATGTTGCTTGTCATTTTATTTTAGTGTTAAACCCAGTTTTCCATCGGGAAAGAAATGTTATTGAAATGTTAAAAACGGCAGGTTGGCAGCTGCCAATAGAGTAGAGCTTTTGTCAAGATAATTTCAATATGGGGTTTTTATATCTTTTTTTTTTACTTTACAGATCAATTGTACATATATGAGACTAGCATGATACTTGGATTTAGTTTTTTGATGATTAATGGAAAAAAATTACAGCCGTTGAAATTATTATTATTATTCAAAATAATGCTTATAAGATGGAACATTTCTCCAGAAACCTAATACTACAGTTTTCAAGATGCAACACTTCCTATAAGCTTCTTAATGGTCCTTATTGATGGCTTAATTGTCGTCTTTAAGTCAACATTAAGCACCTTTAAGATATCTTTAAGTAATATACACCATCATTAAATAACCATTAAGCCATCTCAAAGTCCTTAATGGGTGCTTAAAGGTAGCTTAATGGGGGGGGGGGGGGAGGGGGTGGTAAAAAGACCATTGAAATAATGCACATTATTTATATATCATTGTGTTTTCTGTTTTATTTTAATTGCCTTGCCTGAATAAAAATGTTTTCTAGACTTTTCTGTTTGTAACGACTGTGTTCCAAATTCATTGATATTCACACATATTCAGAATTTCTATTTTGCTCCGACTTTGGTCTAAGCAATGTCTTTAAATCAATGGATTTTGAAATTGTTTACGAGTAAATAATGTTAACGAGTGTGATAGCCATGTGTTTGTTAAGGTGACCTCTAATTTTCCTGCATTTCACTCAAACATTATACATCGAAATCAGGCTGCTGTGTGGTCAAAAAAGATTATTTCACAGGAAACCAGGACTAACTTTCCATGTTCCATTAAACACAAAAGATCAGATATGACTGCCAAAGATGTCATTACTTCTCATTTTCCGTCTATACACACAAGATTAAACCTTAAATATTGGACTTCAATATTTCTAATTATAAATTTAGGTTTTACTACAGGTAGACACAGAATTAAATTTTCTATATATTCTTACAAAAAAAAAAAAAAAAAAAAAAAAAAAAAAAAAAAGCACAGCTTTGAGTAGGTGGTCTTCATTTAAAAGAAACTTTTGAGAGGTTTCCTTTTCAGATCTCGTGAAACAGGGCAAAACTATCGTAAGATTTGTCCTAAGATAGATCTTACGATCATCTTAAGATCTGACTTATGACAATCATAAGATTTTTCACTGTTGTTTCACAAAACTACCTTAAGTATAAGAAATCTTAAGACAAGTCTTAAGACAAATTCCATTCTTCAATATTACAGGGAATTTTTTAAAAATATGTTTGCACGAAGTTTAGTTTTGTTTCTTTAATTTTGTTTGAAATATTGAAATAATAGTGTGTCTCATATAGTCTCTTTTTCAGATATAACCTCGGAAAAAACATTTTATTGCATCAACTTTAATGTACTGTGTGTGTTTTGTTTTTGGGGGAAAGGGGGTCATAAAAACTAAATTTGAATTATTTTCATCACAAAAAAATATTGAATAAAATTTGCTTAAAATAATGTGTTTTTGCTCAGAAAATAGTAGTTGCTGACGAAATGTATGTAATACTACTTTAATTAAATCTACTAGTGTATCTGAACCTTTGCAAATAATGAAGGACTTTAGCAATGAATCCTTTCGAAGCACCAAATCGTGTTCAAAGTTCGTTCATAAAATTCGTTGAAGGTGTCTCTGAAACGCTTCAACTACTGCAACAAAATAACAATGCTAACAGACGAAGGAACAATAATCTATTTCCAGTCATAATTTTTCAGTTTCAAATGCTATGAAGAAAGCATGAAGAAAACATGTACATGCATGCAGCATCAAATGTTACAGCAGTAATTATATTGAATTTTCATACACATTCCGGTAGATTTATGAGGGATACCCCAAGAATTAAAACTATTTGATTTTCATCTAATTTTGTAAGACTGAAAGAAATGTTTACTTTCAAATTTCTAAAAAAAAAAAAAAAAAAACTACCACTGACAATGTAACCAGAAAATATATTAAAGTAAAACTTAAAAATGCAGGGTAGCTTCACAGAAGTTCGATTTTTTTTACTTTCATTGGCGGGTCTTATCCAATCAATAAAAATGCATATGTTTCGTATTTTTATTTCTTCAAAATATATTTACTTAACATATCAATAAACTACATGTATCTCGAATTACGTTAGCTATTTTATAAAAAAAATTCGTAAATTAGCAATGCTAGGTCATAGAAATTCTGATGTTCTTGAGGGGTATTGAATTCAAAATTAAATAATTTTGAATAAATTTATATATGATATCTGGATCTCACATACATGTACATATATACATGGCCTTGAGAAGCAATTTCGGGGTGGGGGTGTTCCAATTTCAGTTGGGAGGGGGCACAACCAAAGAAAAATATCTCGAAATGAATAAAGTGACACAATCATAAGGTAGGTACATTTTATGTTATCGTATATTTATTGGCAAATTATTTGGAGTGGGGTGGGATGGGGATGGGGGGTCATAGTCCAAAGGATTGTTCTATCTCTAAAACCCGTTTCTTAAATATCGCTCGGTTTTTAGCCAAAATATATACTGTCACCAGTTTCACTTTAGACTTAAGATAGGTATCTAGTTGTCTTAAAATTATGATAGATCTTAAGATTTTCATAAGATATAAGAGTTTTGTGAAACGTCTATGGTGCAATCTTAAGATAATTTTCGGTCTTAAGACAGATCTTAGTCATAAGATAGTTCTGTGAAACTGGCCTCAGTTTTTTATAAAGATTTTTGTACTAAAACCACATAACTATCCAGCAAGACACGCGAGTTTGTCTCGGTCGAATTCGAGCAGGTGCTTGAAAATCAAGTGCAGGACTTGATCAACCCCCCCCCCCCCCCCACCTCCTGTACAGTATATACAAAAAATCATCCTAAATACTAATTAAACTGGTTAATACAGGACGTTTACATATCGCTTTTCATCCCAAAAGAAAATTCAGCTCTAGTCTCCAGCAAAACTGCCCAAATCGGGAAGGGAGATTCAGGAATTATTTTGCGTCAGCCATGTTTTGACGTAAACCTCAACAGAAATGCCGTTATGACACCGGCGATTAAAATTAAAATTCTTGCTTGCCAGTATTACACTATTTTCCTGATCTGTAATGAACTTTTGATGTAATAAGCAAATTTCTTGTAAATCTATATCAAATTAGGCGACACTCTGTGACTGGGGTGTTCGTGGTCAACACGGATATCTAAAAAATATGGCAAAATTTGAACTGTATGTAGTTATCTTGCACCTTGAACTTTTGTTATTCTCTCGTCTTATATTTAAAAGAAATGCATTCTTATTCACATAAAGAATAAATAAATTGTGTAAAATACGTTGTTTTTTTCATAGCACGACCAAAGAAGTGGCTTTTGTCATAAGGGAAAGGGGGGGGGGGGTAAAGAGGACGTTGAAATATTACATATTATTTAAATTTCAATGGTGTTTTCTGCTTTATTAGATTTGTTTTGCCTCAGGGGAAATGATTTCTAGACTTCTTTATTGTTACGACTGTGTTCCAAATTCACCGATATTCACAGATATTTAGAATTATTTTTTTTTCTCCGGCTTTGGTCTACTAGTAATATCTTTAAATTAAGGGATTCTGAAATTGATTACGAGTAAATAATGAAAAAAGAGTATGATAGCCATGTGTTTAATTTTTTAAGGTGCCCTCTAATTTTCATGCATTTCACTCGACACGATACATCGAAATCAGGCCGCTGTGTGGTCCAAAAAATATTTTTAGAGGAAAACTGGACTAATCTTCCATGCCCTATTAAACACAAACGAACAGATATGAAGGCCAAAAATGCCATTATTTCTCGTGTTCCATTTTTTACACACGAGATTAAAACTCAATATTTCTAATTATAAATTAAGGTTTTACTACAGGCAGACCTACAATATTAAATTGCTACATATTCTTACTAAAAAAGCACAACTTTGAGTGAGTAGGTGTTTTAAATCAAAACAAATTTTGAGATGTTTCCTTTCAAGATTTTGTAAAACAATTCCTTAAAAAAGATTTTTTACAAAAAAACACGTAGCAATCCAGCAAGACACGGCAAGTTTTTCTCGGTTGAAGTGGAGCAGATGATTGAAAATCAAGTGCAGGACTTAATCACTACACCCCCCCCCCCCGTCATGTACAGTATAAACGTGCTGATAAACTTAGAAACGTGCTGACATTCTAAGTCGGTGCTGATAGACTTAGACAATTACTGACCCGTTTTACTGTCCCTGCATGCTGACAAAACTTAGACAAGTGCTCATATTTACTGATAGGTATTGTCCCTACTGTCCTTGCGCTCGAGGAGACTGCAATGGTGTGGAAATGTGTGTGTACTAT